CCCGGGGGGGGGGGATGGGCACTGCTGGAATTGACTGATGCATTAGGCTAGCCAAACTGTTTATATGAAGAAAAGTTGTCCCGCTTGCCAGGGGTACCCTATCTGCTGAGGCGAGACAACTCACCCTCCCGAGTTGTTGCGTACCCCGAGACGGGTTCGCCATCCTCTTGTAAACAGTTGGTTAAATTTTGCAAAGAAATAAGTGAACTAGTGTAACTTGGGGGGAGGGTACCGGTTGTCTCAGGTTACCGAGACCATAGAAATGGGGCCTAAATGGAAATGCAGTTATCGGCTGTTAATTGGTCCATGCACTAGAAGACCTGTCCCGAAATGATCCCCAAATCGCTCCCGAAATAATCCCCAGTGAATTTAAGAAATGGCGACAAAACATGAGACTGTTGATCGCTCAATGATATAAAGGGAAATTTAAGTCATTTTTGCCTGTATCGATATGAACAACTAAAAGATGATAAATAAAGCTAATATGTGTTTTTGTAAAGGAATAGACTGCATTACATTACCTTATAACAGGAACTACTTTTTTAAATAGGTATGTATAGCTTACAGTTAGGACTGATCACATGACGGGAAACAATTACTGTATTCAGATACAATTTTTTACATTTTTATCAGGAATATTGCAAATAATTTTCTTGGTCAGTAGTATTACACAAGCAATCGAACTTCATCGTTATGAATCAAATGGAGCAATAAATAACGTAGATTAATGGCAACTGAGGTTCTTGCTAACATCAATTAGACTCTAAAAACACTAATGGATAAAGAGCGTTCTGAAATAATGAAAGGAACATCGCAGATTCAAGGAATCGTGTCAAGGTGGTCACAACGCCGGCGAGGTTCCACTATACTCAGTCAAACTTCTCCTTTCGGTCCGCTCCATATAAATACGGACACCTCAATATTAAGGATAGTTCACTTAGTCTCAGCGAATTCATATAATCTCTGACTATGTTATCATCCTTGGTGTCCGTATTGAAGAGGTTCAACTATAATAGTTATTGATAATTCGATCTTGAAACAGTGGATGAAGGGCCACTTCGTGGAAATTAAATGCCACTGCAAATTTCCATTATTATTATTATCATCATTATTAGTAGTATTATTAATATTATCATTATTATTACCAATTGTGCACCGATCAATAAACGACACGATGGTGGCTTCATGAAGCCTCATTTTTGGAGAGAACAAGATTTTTTTTTACGCGCAGCCACGTTCACCAATACGTTCACGACCTTATGCGCCTACTGGCGCCTCGAGAACTGATGATGATGATGACGTTCACCAACAGTAAATGAGACTTCCGCATTTAATAACTACCAGAACTTTACTGGACATGCTTGTTCTGAGAGCCGAGCGCGAGTTCCAGTTAATTCTAAAAAACCCTCAGCTAATATACTGTGACATGACTAAGAAAACTAAGAGAGACATTGCTTAATCTTAAGCCACGGAAGGTTTCTTTTGGCCGGTGAAATGATTTTCAAAACCTGGTAACCTTTCTGCAGCTCTTTTTCAACCCCTTAGTCGTCAGATAAATATCTGATTGACTATGAAGCTTGCTCAGGATCCGTCTGTGAGAATATTGACTCTCAACCTTTCTAGTACTGTCTAGTGTCGAGAGCATGTATTCTCCGATCCAAGTGCGGTCCTCTCGCATGGCTAATAACATGTTCTCCAATAGGGACCAAAGGCGCTAATTCAGTAAAATCAATTTCCTAATTACAGAGCGTTAACCCGGAAGAAGCAGATTCGACTGAAATCATTGTTAATCAAGATGGCTTACAACAATTTCAAGCTCGAAGGAAATCCTGTGATCCTGATTCTTGTTGGTCATGGCTGGTCTGCGTGGTGTGTGCATTTTGTAATATCATTATTTGTGGTCTAACGTACAGTTACGGAATTCTGTTTCCCTGGCTTCTGGACGAATTTCAACAAGGAAAAGCTAAGACAGGTAAGGGTTTGGTTTTACTTCTTCGTTTGTTTGTGCTTAAAGGTCAGCACAGAAGCGACGGGACAATTCAAGTCCCTCGGTTTGAACTGAAGGGACAAGTCCTCGCTACTTGTCCCTCAGAACCCTTGGTGTGAACTGTTGGTGGGACTAGTCGCACGGGACTAATCGCAGGAGACTAGTCCAGGGGTCTTGTCCGCTCAGGTGGGTAGAGCGGTATCATAGAAGATCTCATTTGAGTGTCTCAAAGCTAAAACTAACAAAATTTCAATGGTCAATCACAAGAAACGCAAACAGCACAGTGAACCAATCAGAACACGCGGGAAAACGCGCAAGGGCAAGACGCGATTGGTTTTGGCTTTGCAGAGCTTGAGAACAATTTCGGATTATTCCCCACGTTCACTTAAAAACCTTTGTAACATAACTGCGTGTCGTGAAACCAAAACCATATAATAAATTAACATTTGGTCAATCAGCTACACTTGTTTCTCTCATATCTCCAATCTTCACCCATGGGTAAAAATGGAAAGTAGCAAGTTGTTGGAGCCAAATAGACAAAGTATTTTGGAGGATGACAAAGGGTAACCTTGGGGACGGGCCATAATTTTTTT